GTCTAGACAGGGGCGCTAATAACGCCCATAAAAGGCGGCCTCTCCAGAGACGTTCGGCATCTCGGCTCCCGCGCGCCTACCGCGGGCCGCGGCCTCCGCCTCCTCCGCCCCGCCCTCCTCGGAGCCTGCCGCCGGCCTCGGGCGGCCCTGGGGAGGGGGCACCCCGAAGGTTTCCAGAGCTGAGAAACCCCGCCCCGCACCCTTCGGAACCTCTTCTGCCTCCAAAGGTAAGTGGAGCCCCGCTCTCCCAGCCCAGCGCGGCCTCCAGGTTAGCAGCGCATCCTCCCATCCCCACGCGCCCCCCCAGGCACCCGTGTCCCCCGCCCCGGGACTGGGGCCTTGGATTCGGGAAGCGCTGGATGGCTGGGCAGAGCAGACCCCAAATAGATCTCAGCCTCTCCCAGTGCCAGGCCTGGCCGGAGGCCGTGGTCACGGCGAGCCCCGGCTGTGGGGCAGAGGGCACAGGGGTAGTCCTCACCCCATCCCGCTTCGAGGTCACCGAGACCAGGCCGCGGGCTCCCGGATACGGTGCAGGCGGCTGTGGGTGTGGCGTCTGATGAGAGTGGTTGCTGGCTTTTTTTTTTTTTTTAACTGGGTCCCCACACCTTTCCTGACACTCAGTAATTCACTAGGCCGAGGAGATCCTCTGCTGGCGGAGGGGGGGAAATGTCAGGGCCGCGAAACTATTTAACTATTAGTGCGCCGAAAGGACAGGGAAAACGGGGGAAGGGGGCCCATTAAGGGACATTAAGGCATGCTCAGGTGAGAGGTGGAGAGATGGTCTCCCAGACGTGCCTGCCGGGGTCTCCCTCACCCCCCCCACACCCCTTCCCATTCCCCAAGTGGCGATCAGGCTGGGGTCTTTGGAGGGAGGGGCCCCGAGATGCTGCAGAGGGGTTGGAGGAGGTAAGGCCGCTGCTGACCCCAGGCCACTGGGGTGAGCCTGAGAGCCTGACTGGACCCCTCTCCCCCCCGGGAGCCTCTAACGCCCCCCGCCCCAGTCTGCAGATGCCTGAAAAGCAGCACCTGGAGAAGGGGTCTCCCAATCTTCCTCCCTAAGTCCTGCTCCTCCGGAGAGGTGGCTGGGAGCCAGGTGGGCTCCAACCCCTGGAGGAGATAGTGAAGGGAAGAAAAAGGAGACGCGGCGCCCCTACCTCCACCCCTCAGACTTGTCTGAACCCACCAAAGATGCTGTACCAAGTCTGAGCTCCCTCCCAAGAAGGGAATAGAGAGTTCAGGAGGGTCGGGAGGGGGCCAGACCTTCCTCACCGGCCGCCACGGTTGCCCACCCTCCCCGCGCGCCCCTCGGTCCCTACTACCGGCCCACCGGGGACCGGGCCCTGTCACATTTGCATACGCGGCAGAACCGCTTTCTGCAAACTAGGCAGTGACCTTGAACCGGGCCCCGAAGCCTCTCGCCAGGAGCGTGGAGAAAGCGGCACCGCGCGGGTCCTGACCTGGGGCGGCAGGGGCGCAGCTCCAGGCAGCTCGCAGCCGAGGCCTGAGCTTCCCACAGCCGCCTGGCCCCGGCCACCCAGGCGGGCACGGGGTTTTAGTTAACTCCTGCGGCCCGGCGCGGCGTGGCGTGGACTCGAGGCCCCCCGCAGAGGCTGCGGCGGGGATGGAGGCACGGATGGAGGCGCGGGCGAGCTGGCCGGTGGGTGCACAGGAGCACCAGGGCTGCCTGGGGTGCTCAAGGGAAGCCTCGGCCGCATCCCTTCGGTTTTAATTAACCCCTGAGTTAATGAGCAGGGCTCGGTGGGCCAGGCCAGCTGCAGCCGGCGGGGCCAGGAGGCAGGCCGCCTCTTCTAACCCTGGGGCCTGATGAATATGCGGGAGAGGGGCCGCCCGCAGCGCTCGGTGGGTCCGGTGGGTCCGGAGCCTGGGCCTGGCCAAGCACCCGGTGCGCGCGGGCTGTGAAGAGCGGCAGATAAAAGTCGGCCAGGCGCGGCTGCCCAGAGCTCTGGGTGGCAGGTCCCCCGCGGTCCCCTCTCGGAGCCCCAGCCCTGTTGGTTCGGGGCACGCAGCTTCCCCCGTGGCTGGGGGTAAATTGGAAGCTTCGCACCCGAGCCTCCCGCCGGCCCCGGGGACCCAGGCCGGGCGCAGCGCTCTGGGGCCGGTTTGTGGGAGCCCGGGTTAAGGAAAGCGGGGTGCCCTAGAGGGGGACAGATCCGCGGTGGTGCACTCTGATTGCCTGGGTTCCTCACCGGGATCCTGAAAACCGCGAGGCTCACAATGGGCTTGGAGGAGCCGGACAACGGGATGCTGCTGGTTGCTGCTGGTTCTTGGCAGCTCTCCCAAGGGGAGTCAGGGTCAGCTGCGCAGCGCAGAGGGGTTGGTGCGTGTGCCCTTGCCCGCAGAGCGGAAACCAGGGGAAATGGCCTTCAAGGCGGGCCAGGTGGGATGGGGAGAAACTGCGTGCCTGGACGAAGGAAGCCCTCCCTGCGTTTCTGTCCCCAGCGCCGCATCTGCTGCTGGTGGCTGCCGCTCCGTGTGCTCGGCGGCCTGGCCGGAGGGCAGTGTGCGACGGACGATGGGGCCTGAGGTCTTCTAGCCAAAGGGAGAAGGGGAGAGGCTGGGACCTTCCTCCCGGGGTCCCCTTTCTGGGAGCCTGGAGTCATCTGGGAGGGCGAAGAGGATGGGAAGAAGCCTCTACCCCGCAAGGACTGGTGGTGACTGCACAGCTCAGCTCGGCATCCCTCACACCAACAATAGCGGCCGAGCTCCGAGGCCTGGAGGCCTGGAGACCTGGCTGCCGGCGCAGCGTTCTGTTTGAAAACAACAATATTCAAGTCACACCCTGTTTATCTTTATGACCCAAATAACCCCCAAATAAATTTTTTTAAAATTAAATTTTTAGTGGTGCTCATTAATGCATCTCGAAAAGGGGGCATAAATAGGATGTTGGAGATGCTGTGACGTGGAATTTGCAGCTCAGGGACGCTCCCTTCTGCACCCGCGGAGCCCCATCATCAATTAGGCACAAAAAAGGATAATCCAGGCGGTCTCCCGCCCGGGGCTCGCGCCGTTCTGACTGCAGGTGACTGAGCGGTGCTGGCATCTCACCGCTCAGCCTCGGTTCGGCAAGTGGGCCGGGCGGGCGGGGAGGGCTCCGGGGGCGGGAGGGCCTGGCCAGGCAGCCCGAGCAGGGCAGCCGCGTGGGGAAGGGGACGCGGGCAGGGCCGGGCGCCGCGCTGCGAGCCTGGGGCTCCGCGGGCAGGGCGACGCTCGCTGGCGGGGACTCCTCTCCGTCCGAGGGAGCGGTTCTGGGTGGGATGTGAAATCGCCTGGCGAGCTGTGGAATTCGAAGAATCTGCGGTTCTCTCTGCCGAGTCCTGCAGAGGAGAGAGAGAGAAAGGGAGATGAGAATCTCCGGCTTCGGTCTGCTTTTGTAGCTTCGGCTCATTCTCAGATACTTTAACTTTCACCTACAAGGGTTTCTTTCTGCCATATTCTCGCGGAGGCTCTCGGTTTCTCCAAATTTCTCTAGATCTTCCAGTGTTTCCCTGCATTTAGCTGTTTGCTAAATGTCTTAGCTGTTGCTAACTGTCTACTTTACCTTGTGTTACTCAAAGCCGTGAATTGTATAGGAGCCGGAAACAATCAAATAGAAATCCGAGTACTTTGTCTACCAGACATCATTAGAATACACACACTTTTGAAGGTGTTGTTGTGGTTTTCACTTTAATCCGATTATCTGTGTTCTGTGGACTTGGTTGAGATCGGATTGTGGTCTTCAGATGTCCAGTAATCTCATCAATGGCCAGCGCTGGGTTCTCAGCCTTCTCTGGGAGGAGTTGCTGAGGTTAGCACCATAAATATAATTTTAAACCCCAACAAGATAATTCTCCGGAGTCGTCCCCCTCATTCCCAGCACACCTGCAGCATTGGCACGGCTCTCTGGTGGTCCCAGTGGCAGTCTGGGCTGGTTCTGGGGCATGGGGGGGTCTCTTTTGCAGTGGGAGTCAGGAGTCGCTCGGGCCAGCCAAGCTCTGCTGGGGTCCCAGAGCCTCTTGCTGCAAAGACTCTGGAAGGCTCCCGACCATCCGACCCACGAAAGTCACAGGGAGGAGTAGCTCAGGCCCTCAGATTTTCAAGAGCAGGTAGTCAGGTCCACATAGAGCCGGGTGCCTCCTTCTCTAGGCTTCTTCTGCCTCCTTTCTGCATCCCTCCTCTAACCGTGAGTGGAAGCGTGAGGCTGGGATGGCTCCCAGATCCGGAGGGGGGGGGGATAGCCAGCATTAGCAATTCTCCCGTGCTCCTCTCCTCCAGGAAGGACCCCCAAAGTGTCTACCAAAATTCCTGAGGAGGAAGAGCTGAGGAAGAGGAGCACAGCAGCGGGCAGGGCTGGGAAAGACAGTGTCAGGGAAACCTGTCCTTACCCCTACTTCGCCTCTACTGTAAATAAACCCTGAGCCAAAGGGCTCATCCGTCTCCTTAAACAGCCAGTAAACTTTATATGACACAATATCTAATAGTAATTTATTGGGGAGATATTGTAAATTCCAACGGTTTTAGTTAATAAAGGAGCTAATTAAAGAGGGACAGGCTGTGCTTGGCCAGCTGTTGGCGAGAAGATAATACATCTGGGGAGGGGGGTGCGCATGGTGCAGGAGTGCCTATGTGCGGGTGCTTTTGGTGTGGCTTTTCTCCCTCTTGCCCGTGTCGGGCGTCGGGTCGGGTCGGGCGTGGGGTGGTTGGCTTAGTCTCTGCACTCTGCATTGGGTTTTATATGATATTTTAAAAAAAAGAAAAGAAAGAAAGAAACAGAATCCAGGGAGTAAATCTGCCCCCGTGTTTGGTCCCCCCAGCCCCACCCCGAGTGGGGAAGGGGGGAGCCGGAGCCGGTGCGGGGTGGGGGGGGGCCTCGCTGTCCCCACCCATCCCCCCGGCGGCGGCGCCCACGTGAGCTGGATGGCCAATGGGTGGCCGGTGCAGGTTTAACTATGTTTAATGTCAGATAGCAATAAAGTAGAAGCTGCCGGTCGGGCCCCGCGGAAATGGGCGAGCATAATCTCCTGAATCCCGGGTTTGTGGGGCCGCTGGTGAACATCCACACGGGGGACACGTTCTACTTCCCCAACTTCCGCGCGTCCGGGGCGCAGCTGCCGGGGCTGCCGTCGCTGTCCTACCCGCGCCGCGACAACGTGTGCTCGCTGCCCTGGCCGTCGGCGGAGCCCTGCAATGGCTACGCGCAGCCCTACCTCGGCAGCCCCGTGCCGCTCAACCCGCCCTTCGGCCGCACGTGCGAGCTGGCGCGAGCGGAGGACAGCAAGGGCTACTACCGCGAGCCGTGCGCCGAGGGCGGCGGGGGCCTGAAGCGCGAGGAGCGCGGCCGCGAGCCGGGCCCCGGGGCCGCGCTGCTGCCGCTGGAGCCGTCGGGGCCGCCGGCGCTCGGGTTCAAGTACGACTACGCGGCGGGCGGCGGCGACCCGGGAGCCGCGCACGACCCGCCCTCGTGCCAGTCCCTGGAATCCGACTCCAGCTCGTCCCTGCTCAACGAGGGCCACAAGGGCGCCGGCGCGGGCGACCCGGGCGGCTTGGCGTCGCCCTTACACCCCGGCGGCGGGCTCTCGGCCAGCGGTAAGGACCCGGGCCCCTCTCCAGGCGCCGCGGACCCGACGGCTCGCGGGGGCGCAGTGCAGGGCCGAGCTGGGTGACAGCGCGGCGAGGGGCGCGTCCTTTAGGAACGCGCAGGGGGTGGGGGGCGCCTGTAAACATGTAAATGCCCCCATAAAAGAGCTGCGGAGAGCTCCCTATCCCCCCCACCCCCCCACCCACGAGCTGCTGCAGGCTGCAGGGGGCAGGGAGCTCCGGAGAAGGGGATTCCGACCCAGGCTTCTCCAGGCCTGGGGAGGACCCTGCTCTCTCCGGCCTTTGCACAGGCTCCGTTACCTACTTTTTTTTTTTTTTTTTTTTTTTGCTTTTAAGAAACGCCAGCAAGGCGGGTTTACTCTGCCCGCCTCCCTCCTGTCTGTCCCAGCTCATCAGGGAGCCTATCCCGGAGGATGTGAAAGGAAGGGGCCAGGATATCCGGGAGGAGAGGTTTGGGGAGAAGGGAGGGGATCGGGACTCCGAAGGCTCAGGAATACAGGGTTGAGGAGGCAAGGAGGGGTGAAAGGGGAGGAATGGAGTGATGAAGGGGGGCAGGAGTGGACGGGGATGAGGGTCTGTGTTAGGAGGAGGAGGATGAGCTAGGAGAGCGACGGCCTGGGATTGGGCTGTAGGCCAAGAGAAGGGCCGGGGAAGGACCGAGGGCACTGGGCTTGTCACCTCTTTGGTCCTCTGGCCAACCCTGCCGGTTCGTCTCCACCCAGGCGCGCCCTGGTACCCGATCCACAGCCGCTCCCGGAAGAAGCGCAAGCCCTATTCGAAGTTGCAGCTGGCGGAGCTGGAGGGGGAGTTTCTGGTGAACGAGTTCATCACACGGCAGCGCCGGAGGGAACTCTCAGACCGCTTGAATCTTAGTGACCAGCAGGTCAAGATCTGGTTTCAGAACCGGAGAATGAAAAAGAAAAGACTTCTGTTGAGGGAGCAAGCTCTCTCCTTCTTTTAGAGGGCAAGACACGGGCACCCGCCCCGGACTGAGCCTGTCTCTGGCAGAGAGCAAGGGGGGCGCTGCCTGGGACACAGTCCCCGCTTAGAACGCCAGGCATCTCTGGCAGGCGCTCCCTGGACATCCTCTTGTCTGTTTTGTTTGTGGTTCCCTCCCACACACCCCCCAGCAGGCCCTGCCAGGTCCCAGCCCAGCCAGGGAAAGAGGAAGCCCACAGCTGCAGACAGGGGATAGGGTCAGGGAAGGCTGAGGTGCTGGGGAGAGGCTGCTCTACAGTGGGACTGGGGCATTGGGCCTCTGGCTGAGGACCTGGAGGAAAGGCAATCCACGCGCCCTCCTCCCTCCCACAATTCTCCTTCCAGGGTCTTGAGTCAGCCAGCAGTGGGCAGAGGTGGGGACAGTGGAACCAAGGCTCCCCAAACTCCCAACAGTTGGGGTTAGGAGAGGAGGGAGCGAGAGTGGAGGATCGGTGCGGAGACCGGAAGGGGTTAGGGCAGCTCCGAGAGGGCAGGAGGAAGTGCAGGAACCTAGAGGAAGTCCGGTTCGGGAGAACAGGCGATGCTCCAGTCCACAGGGGTCTGGTCCCCTAGGCCTGGACACCCCACAGGCGCAGACAGGCGGCTGGTGACCTGGCTGCGGACGGGGCGGGCGTCAGCCTCCCGGCCCCTCTGGGGCAGGCTGCAGGAAGAGTCTGGGCCCCTCTCCCCACGGCCCTGCGCCGCGCTCACAGGTGTGCCTCCCTCCGCTCTTCCTGCCGCCCAGGCTGCTGCGGGCCGAAGCCGGGAGCGTGACACTGGGAGCTGGGCCGATGCCGCCTCCGGTGTCCGGTGTAGCGGCCCCCCAGGGACCCCCACCCGGCCCTCCAGGAGGCCCGGGAGGCCGGGAAAGGGGCTGTGAGGCGCACCGTTGATTGGCCGGGAGAGTTTCTGGCAGCCGCGCGGCTCCGCCGCCGATCCCCCCTTCCCGCTGGCGTTCACGGTCACGGCCGGAGGCTGGCCCGGCATAATTTACGAGGCAGGAGGAGAATCTGCCCCTAAAGGGGCTACCGGCCACGGAGGCCCCTGCTCAGCCCGGCTTTCCCAGGCTGGTGACAATGAAGGAGGGGGGCGCTGCTGCCCCCCCCCGCCCAACTCCTTTCTCTCTTTCACCCCCCCACTCCACCCGCCCCCCAACGTCGCCCTTTGTCTCAGGATCTCAGGATCCACTGCCTCCAGGCCAGCGAGCCGCAGAGTACCAGGACCAGAGCCAAAGGAGGGGCACATCCCCAGAACCAGCTGGAAGCCAGAGTGGCTTCTTCAGCCCAGGGCCTTTACCCATAGCGCCCTTCAGACCCCAGCCCCAGCCCCAGCCCAGTAGATCTAGGCTGGCTTAGGAGAGAGGGCAGTGAAGACGTGCGGCGCCCTCCTGCACCCCCTGTTTATCCCTCTGGGTGAGAGTCCCTCTACCTCCCATCTGCTGACCCACCCTTGCCAGGAGGAAGAAGGTGAGGACCAGGGGACTGATGCGAGCTAAACCCAGCATGGACAGTGTGAACTGGCCTGCTAGCTTGGAGTTCTTCCTGCCGGGAAGAGTCCCCCTAACACACCCTGGAATGGCAGCCCCCAGAGCCTCCCACCCTCCCACCAGCACGCAGCTTCAGGTCCCTGTACAGGGTTGTGCAGAGGCATGGACAAACACAGCACAGCTGAGCCCAGCTCCACTCCCCCGGGGCCTATGCCACTCCCCTGACTGTACTTGGAAGCAGGCACCCTCTTGTACAGCCCCAAATACAGCCCTGCAGAATGGCCGTACAATCACTTGCCCTCAGCCCCCACTGGGCACCTGACACCTTCCCCACTGACATAAATGTTTCACCTGTGTACAAGTTCTCAGACATCAGCACCATTCCAGCTGTCTGCACAATCCCCTGTGGGCTGGCCCTGGGTATGAGGCATCTCCCCTTTGCCTGGTCGCCCATGTACCCCTTTATGCAGCCCCTCCTGTGACCTTGTGGGCTCTGGGGTGCTGGATTCGAGCTTCACCACTCCAGCCTGGCTCCCACAGCTTAGTGGAGGAAAAGAGACCAGAACACTATAAAAGGGGTGGGGGTACAAAGATATGCAATATTCTTCTTCCTGTCGCTTTAAACTGACTTCCGTGAGCTTCTCTGTCAATCCGTGTCCAGTTCTCTGTGTCTGTTGCTCGTACCTAGTGTAGTCTCTGTGGGTAGATGCCCTTCCCAGCTCTCTGTAGTGTGCCCTCCTATTCAAATGTCTGTCTTTAGCACGTTTTCCCTTTATATAGTCCTTGTACAGAGTTGCTTCATCATATTAATATTAATAATAATAATTAAAACATGACTGGATGACGATGTGATTTTTTTTGAAAAAGAATTTTAAACTGGGTCCCCACACGTGGTCTCCTCTCCTCAGAAAGAATGGGATCCCCATTCCTATCTGTTCCCCCACTTTACTGTCTCCAGCTCAGGTGAATAATAAAAATAATAAATGTATAATGATAAAGGAAGAACGGTGCAGGGGCAACAAAAATATACGAGCAACCAAGATCTGTTGATGAGCTGCCATCTCTAGTCCCAAGCAATTACTAGCAGAGAGAAAATTGGGGGATAGTAGATTGGGGGGGAGGAGAGGGATTGCTGAGGAGTCATGGGGCCATAAAAATACTGTAGACAGCCCAGAGGGTGTCTACCTTCAGGGCCAGAAAGAGGAAGCCTGAGCTGCAGGATCTCTGAGAAGTGAAACCAGGGTAGAGGCTGCAGCAGGTTGGAGCAGCAATGGCAAGAGTGCCCTGGGACATGGGGCAGGGGCTCGTGGAAGCACACTTCAGCGCCATGGTCTAACCCCATGGCTTCACTCTGAGAGCACATTTTGTGCATGCAAAATAACTAGGAAGGGGACTGAAGACCCCTTGGAGCTGGTGAAATGGGCTTCACCTCTCAGCCAGCAGCTCCCTTTGGGCCTTGCCAGAGAGAGGCCTGGGTGGAAGCCAGAGTCTGGGTTCCAGCAGAGCCTATGAGACCTCTGCACCTTCCCTTCACCCCTTCCTTCTGGATGGGACATCCTCCCTCTGCCTCCACCCTTGTGTCTCTGGTCCCTGAGTTTTCCTTTCTCACAGCCTGGCTCCAATCAGGGAGTCTCCTCCAGATTCCTCCTCCACCCTCCTGGGCCTGCTTAGGAATAGCAGGGGCCCCCACTGAGCCCAGTCCAAGCCACACCTCCTGCCTTGAAATCCTTCTCCCTCTCCCTTCCTTTCCTTACTCCTGCAAGTAGAAAAACTAACAAATTTAGATTGAATCCCGTTCTCCATTTGCTTCTAACACACAGCTTGTCTTGTGTAGCTGAGGGGTTTGGGCAGGACAGAGATCCCAAGCTCTGAGGGTCACTCATACAAACCCCCCCCTCAGAAAACAGGCAAAGCTGGGGACAGGATAGCTTCTGGCAGTCAGGAGGACTGGGTGGCCATGCCCAGGTCTGAATTAAGATGTGTGTGTGGGGGGGGGGGAGGAGTTGAATCCCAGTGAATCCAGGCCAGAGACTACCCTCTTCATAAGACAGATCCCTACAGGAAGAATTAACAGTGAAGGCGTTTCTGGCTTTAAAAAAAAAAAAAAAAAGGAGGAAATTTAAGGAGGTCAGGAGTAACTGGTCTTTAGTTTATTCCCTTGATTTATTCCCAGAGACACTGCAGAATCTGAGAGAGAGGCAGTACCTTGTTGGGTGGTGTCCACATAGGTCCCAAAACTCAATACCTGGGCAGACTGTCAGAGAAGGAAAGACACTATAACCTCCTGCTAATGGTTGAAAACATATCTTTGGGTCTCTGGGCCAAAGAGACTGTCGTGATTGGAGCCTCAACTCAAGTACTCAGGGCAAGGCTGAACTCTGCATCTGGGCAGGCATTGCATCTATTTTGCAACTATTTGGTTCAAGCCCTCAAACTGCAATTTACTCCACGGACTTTAAAACAAAGAATCCCGTGTCTCTAATGGAGTCTAGAGGAGCAAGGGATGGAGAGGATTATCTGGATAATCCGGGCAGACAAGGATTCCGCTGTCTCGTATCTGCCAGTTTATACCCCCCAGATGAGCTGCGTATCCGGCCCCGTTCTCCACCCAGTGCCACTCCACTCCGGGCCGCACAGCACAGACACACCAGGGTATTAGAGCCGCCGTGGAGCGGGCGGGCGGCGGGGAGCGGTGCCGGCCGCTGGGTCCCGGGGATGCTAATGCAGCCGGAAGCCCGGCGCGCGATCGATGGCTCAGACCCGGGGCGGAGCAGGGACCGCGGCCCCGTCTCCGAACAAAGCAACCCCCCGGGATCCTGGTTCCCGACAGGCCGGAGCCCCTGCCCATCCTCCCGGCCATTACCAGGAAGGCAGCAGCGGCTTTCCGGCCCGGGGCCGGCTCGGGAAGCGCATCCCGAGCCCCCAGCCCCCAGCCCCCAGCCCCCGAGCCCGTCCGCGCGGCGGGCGCATGGAGGCGCCGCAGGCTCCGGCTGGCTGAGCGCGCGGAGGGCCGCAGGCGCCGGGTCCCGCAGCCGCGCAGCCGCCCTCCCACGCCGGCCTCGGTCCAGACCGGGCTGCCCGCGGGGAAGCGTCGCCCCAGCCCCGCACCCGCAGCCGCAGCCGCAGCCCCAGCCCGCGCCGCGCCCGCCGCTCCGGGAGGCCCCAGACAAAGGCGCGGCGGCCGCTGGCGGAGGCGGCGCCCGGAGCAGCTCCGCGGCCTGGCCCCGCGCACAGGGCGCCGCGAGGTCGGCCCACCTCGGCCGCCCCGGCCCGGCCCCCGCCCCGGCTCCGGCTCCCGTGCGCCGCGGGGCCCCGCGGAGGGGAGACCCCGCGCGCCTCGCAGCCCCTGCCCCTGCCGCCGGCAGCTCCGGCCCAGCCCAGGGCCGCGGGCCCCGCCGGGGACGGGATGACCCCTGCTGGCCACAGCCGCGGAGGCCGCCGAGCCCAGCCCGGCCGGCCCGGCCCGGCCCCGGGCGCCCCGCGAGGGTGCGGGAGGCCTGGGAGGACCGCGCGGGGGGGGGGGCCCTCCGCTGGGCGCGCGCGGAGCCTCGGGGCCTGTGCCGCGCGCGGAGCCCGGCACCGCCGCCGAGCAGCTGCGCTTGGACGAGGCCAGACGCCCCGGGCCTCTGCGCCTCTGAGCCCGAGCCACTCCCCGGGGCCGCGGAGCCGAGCCCTGGCTTGGGCAGCTTCCACCGCCCGGAGTGGACCACGTCCGGGAGGAAAGCTCCCTGCGAACGATGAAAGATGCGTTGTCCGTGTGCGGGGCACCGGGAAGATGCTTCGGGAAATGCACACTTGGTACTGCCGGCACAACCAGCCTCTTCTAGCAGTCTGAGGTGCACACAGATCTCTATAGCACATGTCCATACGGGCACCGAACATCTCTTTCTCTACAAAACATACATACAGAAGCACTTTTATTTGTACGGGAAGGGAAAGCAACCTTCTGGGAAAAGGTTACACACCGCTTGGATAAACACCACATGTAAAGGTTCATTTGCATGAACAGCACACTTGCATGTATATGTGCTGCGCGGCGACTCTACAGTCCTGCATCTATTTAGCTGCATGGACGTATGCGCTCCATAGGGCGTACGAAATCGTGCATGGAAAATGCATCCAAATCGTGTCCACCGAACAAGGAAAATACATCATCTTATTACATATGATGCACAAAGTGAGTAAATATCATATTATTACATAGATGCACAAAGTGAATATCTACCCAGTGTATGAAAAAATGTTGTGTAAGTTAGTTTGTTACGTGCGTGTACCAAATACATTGAATACATTCTTTGAGCTCACATGTTTTTGTATTTATAATACACAATTTATTTGGCTATCTTACAAACAGTAGCAGGAGGAAGTTCAGGCATTGGCTACGACAATCTCCATCGGCTGAGCCTCTTTTCTTTCTGTTTTTCTATTATTTCCGTCTTTAAAAAACCCCTTCTCCGTCCACACTGATTATTTATATAAGTGGTCTCCCATCTCCAGATCTCTGACACATCTCTTGTTGAAGTCAGGGTCTATATTTAGAATCCCAAGTCCTGTTTGCAGCAGGATAATCACAGCCTGTATGGAACGAGCATTATATAATTAGGTTACCCCTGTGTCTCAGGACTTGTTCTTCTAGACCTAAGGTAAATATATTAGAGAGTCACTCTAGGCTGCCAGTTAAGAAAGAGGGAGAGGGAAGAGGGAAGTGCCGGCCTGGGAAGTTGTGTAACAGGCAGGCTGGGGTAAAGGCAAACTCCAGGTGTATGCTGGGCACTCTGGGTTCCTGAAAGCTGAAGTTTGTTTAAATTTTTAAAAATTGATCACCTCTCGGCCTTTTGGCTAAGATCAAGTGAATTTTTAAAAAATTGATTCTTTAAAAAATCTCCAGTGGAGAAAGACAGCATGAAGTAAAGGCTGGACCTCGCCTTCTAGGACCCTCTCAAACCCCAGAGCAGCCTCACTCCCTTGGGCCAACCAGGGAGAGGATTCTGGCCCACCCAGCTCCTCAGCCCCCCCTTAGCATCCTTAATGTTGGCCAGGTCTACACAGGCAGCAGGGGCGGGTTGGCCCATAACCCAAGTTCTTCTCAACAAGATCCACTCCTAGCACTTTCGGAGAGGCAATAATAGCTTAAAACATTTTCTGACACTGAGCTAATTCTGTTTCCGCCCGGGGAAATTAGTCCCACTTGGGTCTTTCCTTAGGAGCTAAAACTCCGAGAGTACCTGACACACGCCTATGGAAAAATTCTTTGAAAGACAATGCACTCACACCCTGCCGAGATATTGTTTATGGGTTCCGTGTAGACACTGCCATATTTTACTGTCCAAAGGAATCAATTAATTAGAGCCTGGCCAGTGCCCGCGCCGGCCGCTGCTTGGCTGAGCGCGAGGCTGAGATAGATGAGTGCGGCCGGCCTGGCCTTGTTAACAAGCGTCCTCATAAAGATGCAGCTGATAAGGCGGCGGGGCGCCGGTCAGGCCTTGGGGCGCCCGCCGCGGGGGGCAGCGGAGTCCCCGCTCCCCTTGCTCCCCCTTGCTCGCCTTCACCCAGTCTTCTCCCCTCTGGCGCCTTGGTGCTGGCACCCGGCTCATTCCCTCTCCGCTCCATTCCTCAGAATTTTCCCTCTTCCTCGTGGAGCCCCCAATTTTAAAAGAGATTTTTTTAAATAAAAATATGTCCACCTCTGTCTGTGAGTGCCTGTCTGGCTGTTCCGGGACCTGCTGCCGCCTCCTTTCCTTGCATTACTGCTCCTGGTTCCTTTTCATGTCTGGCGCTCTCTTCCCTCTCTG